ACCAAAACTGCCCTGTTAATTTGGTACAAATATATTATGTTCTAAATGTGGAACCAAGCAGGACTTAATTGGTCAGACAGTTCTGAGGCTTCTTATCTCAAGCTGCTATTAAGGATGTGCTAATGTCTAGTGTTAATATAAGAAAAGGTCAAAGGATAAAAGGAGAGAGTAAACTAATAAAATCATTTTGCTTTGTCAGTTTTTTCAGTTGAGTTTTTGCACAAAGACAACGTGATTTCACTTCAGAGATTTTATATGGACTTCATTTATCATGATTTGAGAAACGTTCAAGGGAAAATTCATTCTGATATTTTGCAAAAGGGATTTTGCGGAGGCTTGTATTGGGCCTGACTTTCTGACAACCAGAACTCTCCTGAGTTCCACATTTTCTTCTATGAGGATGGAAAGATGAAAGAATTAAATAAGCAAATGTCTTTTTTTAACTATAGGTTTTGAGGAAATAGTGAGACATCTTATGCATAAGACTCTGTAAGACCCAGGGTTGTTAACACATTCTCTATGATAGTGTCCTTTCAAATTCTGTACAGTCTAAAAGCATATTAAAAGCAATGGAGAAACAACTTTCCCAGCTCAGTCAAGCGCTAACCAGTTACCTCTGCCTTCTCCTGAGTCTTAGGATCTAATGTTTACCATATTGTGAGGCATATGAATCAAAAACGTGAAAAATAAATAATACAAACTACACAAAAGGCAATTACTGAATGTCTAAAGGAAATCAGTTTATGTCATTGGGTAACATGAAATGTCAAACATTTAAAACAATTCTTTCCCTGGGAACAAATCAGTGGAGGCTGCAGCTGCCTGCAGTGCGACACAGAGACCACAGGGGGGCAGCATAGTGCCACGGTTACCCCCCAGCACGAACGTCTGCGTTAGGCTCACTTTGTTGTCAGCTCAAATTATTCTACTTTGTTTCATTAAAAGTGAATTACAGTTTTCAATTACTGTAAATGTGCTACATTAATTTGCCAAATTTAAAGTGTAATCTTCTAATTTTTCCTGTTTTTCACTATAGCATATCACAGGCTTAATTTTACAGCCTAATTTCTGAATTACAACAAAATCAGTTTTAAATGTGTAGTTTTAATTGCACAATCGACCATTCTGAATCAGCAACCAATCAACCAGAAGGAATTAAGGTTATTCTGCAGCTGATTTTCAGTTCTTCATTTCACTAATATGTATGGATGTAATTGAACTATATGGAGGACAAAAGTCGCTACACTTTCCTGTGAGTGATACCTAGGCCAAGGTCATGGTAGTGAAAAGAAGTGTGCCTCGCACGTTGTTCCCTTGATGCAGGGCTGCGTTTCATACATAAACAGTTAGTCTCCTTGTTGTTTTCCCTTCTCACCTGGGAATGTCTGCAGGATTTCAGCCTGACAGAACATAAAGGCCAAGGCCTCTGCAAACGCACAACACACCTAGCTTGTTTATTTCCTGTTTCATAAGAAATCACGGTGAGAAACCTTTCTTTCCATAATCTGCACCAGTCTTGTCAGTACTGCATTGTAAATAAAATTCATATTATTGTTTTTTTTTAAGTACTACAAATATCATCTGTGGCACAAATAAAGTATTTTTTATTAAATATATTATAAGTTTTGTCCTTCTACTGTGGGAAAAAATGAAAAGAAGTTTCTGGCTTTTGCAAACATTACTCCCTGAGGATCCAGTTGCAGCAGGGCCTTTGATGAGGATTTCACTTTCCCACATGCGTTAAAAATGGAGCGTCAGTTTACAGCCACACTCTCACCGGTTTTTGTGAGGCAGCCCAGATTGTGTGATTTTGATGTCTGTTGAGTCTGGATGTTTCAGGTTGAACAGCTGGCTTTATCAGGCAGATCTGAGTGTGGTTTCTGCTCCTAAGCCATTAAAAGTCTCTGAGCAAAACGACCTGCAACACATTCCCAAAGCTCAGCAGAGTTGCACAGAGACATGTGGCATTATGGCACACAATAAAGAAAGTTTTGCTGTAATATTAAAATTGGTAGATGAGGTCCAATATAAGATGAAACAGGGTAGCTACTACTCAGGGATTAGTTCTATGATTTTAATGCTAAATCAAAAGGGTATGTTCTATTATAAAGGAAATCAATACTGTATACACAGCACGCTGAACGTTACTTTAGGTGTGTGGATTCATGTTTTTCACAAACCTAAATAGGTAACATGCTGGGGGATTGTAAAATAAGCAGGACAGTATAGATTCACCACAGGGAACGTGTATGTAATCATCTGATCTTGTTTGCTCTAAATAGCACTTGTCTACTTGAATGCACATTGTATTTGATTTCAGCCCTACCTCATTATAGGCAGGTGAGCAGCAGTGCAAAACAAACACCTGTAGACAGCTGTATGTGTTAGGGCTTGGCAGGGCCAGCAGGTGCCTGCAGGGCCTTCAAGTCCGGATCTGAATCTAACATGTGAGGCTACAGAGCAGGAAAAGTCTCAAATGAGTGGTGCACAGGGGATGTATATAAATCTACAAAAAGGAGGTCAAATGTATCAAATTACTGAAAGATTCTTAAGCTCTATAACAGTTTAGTGGAATATTTTCTCTGAACTAATCAGAATAATCTGGAGTTTTACACATTTGTCCAAAGTTGACATTCTTTTGTGGTGAAAGGCTTGTGTAAACATAATATGAACAAAAATATCAGTAACATATACTGGAAATTTTAATGACTACTGGGTGTAGGCAAAGAAAATGACTGACAGCGAGAGATAGTCATTAGATTCAGCTCTAAATCTGTGTCTTCTATTATTTTTTTATTTCATACAGAATACTGTAGTTACATTTACTCTGTGTTTTTCTAGAGTTCATACCTTTGGTAGCATAGCATGGCATTGCCTCTTAACTTTTATTTTTAACTTGGCCATTTTGCATAACCACACCTTGGCCATGCAAATGTGTGTAATGTAGCATCTGGTTAATCAGTACATACACAAAGAGAAATACAGAAAGAAAGCAGAGCTAAGAAAACACTTCCATAACACCTGGGCAAACGCCGTCTTCTGAGGAAGATCATGTGATACAACTGAAAGCAACAGATACTACAGTAAATGACCCTTGTGATGAGATTGTTGTGTCAACTGAAGACAGATCGCACATACAGAATGCACCCAATGTGAAAAAACTATTTGCTGCACAGTTGTCTTTCTTTTTATCAGAACTTTCTATTGAAGGAAGGACTTAAAGGGTAAAAAGAAAAATTACCCACAATAAAAAAGAAAGCAAAGAAATCAGACAGCTGCAGACTAGACTTTTATTGACTGAAGCCACCAGGTAAATGAAATTACATCATTCAATTCTTCTTGGTGCTTTGTTCATCATCTTTTCATTTTCAGTAATTTTCTAACAGTAGATTTTACTGTAATTACAAAACCTGGCATTTTAAAGGATCATGCAAACTCTATGAAAACATCAATACCAACCCTGAACTGATCCTACTGCAAAGTAATGTTGGACAGTATGTAGCCCAAACCTGGTATAGCTTATTTGTCCATGGCATAGACCTGTGTGTCTGTCCAAAAACTGTGAAAACAGCATCAGTGACACTTGCACTGAGTCACATGTTGCTTCAGTACCATGAGCATAGGCTATGTAATGTTTTTTTGTCTTCAAAGTCATAAAACATTTGCAAAGAAATGCTAAACAGCTGCAATGAGATGCAAAGCAATTGCAGTGCTGTAAAAACTTTTTAAAAAAGCAAAAAATGACTACAGAGTTAACAACAATGTTGCTTCTATGTGGGATGGGGGGGGGGGCTTTTACATGACTATGCCCAGGGGCACATTGGAAACATTTGGAAACAGTCTGCTGCTTTTGGCCCTTTATTTATTTTAGATTTAGACTCCAACACCACTCCTCATTTTATCATTGCATAGAAGAAGTCAGGGACCTTGAATCTGCAGGAAATGATGTTTTTTTCTGAATCAAGCTCAACATACTAATACAACTAGACGGACTGCAGTAAAATAAAAGTTGAGTGGGTTACCTCATCTGCTTCACATCTAGACTCAAAGTATAAGACATGATTAAGATTCCACCTTTATTCTGCAATGCTGCACACACCATGATGCAGCAGTGAATACCTTCAGTCTAAGTGTTGCTTTGTACATTACAATTACCCACACACAGCTCTGCATCAGACCGTGAGTTGACTTTTATGTTCATGTGAATGTGGGCCACAGTAGCAGCTGATGACAGCTTAATTCCTGGGCTGTCCCCCCTGCTGAAGCCTACTATTTGTGTAAGCTGACAGACGGAGATCAGACCGAGGAAAGATGAGTGGGAACCCTGTGAGTACGCTCAGGTTTCTGAGCGAGATGAAAAGATTTGTCTGGGCCGTTCTGAGCTGATGGAGTTTCCCATGTTCTGCACTGCAGCAGGTTTTTGTTGAAGTGTCTGGATAATGAGACCCTCTATCTTTCTCATCTGTGAACACACAACTGATACACATAAGGCTGATGTTGCACTTAGTTTAGATCTGTGTTGCCATTAAATCTACATGCCTCCGTGTAGAGCTTTTCTCTCATCACAAACCAGGAGAAGAGAGATTCCAAACAATTACTTTGGAAAATGCAGGAAACAGGTAAACAGGTGTAGAAAAAAACTAGAGGCTAGGGTCAACAGAGAGGAGCAGGATGAAATGAGCTAGAAAGGGAGGTGACCTCAGTTTAAAAGGGGTTGGGTAATAGAGGTCTGAGGACAATATGAGCCACCGAGGTAAAAGGAGGCAGAAGGAGCAGGATAAGAAGGATTAGGGGACCTGTGGGGAGAAGGTTGTATTACTCTGATAGAGGTCGGAGCGTGCAGCAGTTGAGGAAACAGGCGAGCCCCGGGAGCAGTTTTGTTTTGTTTTTTTTTGACCATCAGTATGTGCAGTTTGTTTTAACACGTACCTGAGGAATGTGGTTAATGCGATGTTGATCTTCTGAATATGACAGTGGGCAAACCTCTCTCAGGTGCTGAAATGACACAAATGTGCTTTATCATCCTGCTGATGAGTAAAGCTGCTTCCATCTCCGCACAGTTTAATGGATACAACTGTGATGCCACCTACCACAGCAGGTTTCCTGGTGAGAATACTAGAGATAACACTCAGACCACAGGCTCTTCTTCCACTGTAACTGCAGATATGGAACATAAGATAATGCTGTGAAAAGTGTTGTAAACAATTTGCTCTGCTGTTTTTATTTTACAGTTGTGAGCTACTTCTACTTCACTGAGTTTTTGTGCACACGTACAATTGAATATTTCCTCCCTGCAGTTATGTGATGGATGTCGTTCTTGTGGTATATTAAAAGGTCACATCAAAACATCAGATGTGATACTTATGCATGTAACTACCACGCTGGCTCCCAGCTTCAGGTGAAATGCTCAAAGCATCAGCACTGAAAAACCTTCTGTACCATTCTGTAAAATGAATACTATTACTTTTGATATATTTACATTTATGTGTTAATTTGTGTCGTATTGGTACTTAGGTTTCTGAGTACTTCTTCCACCACTGTCTTCTATTCTCTGCAGACAAAAACAGATTAAATCTTAATAGATAAAGACAGACTCTGTGCTATATTAAGAGGCGTCAATCTGTCTACCTTATCACTGGTACTGTCAAAGTATTAGACTCACCTCTCAGCTTTACACAGTACAAAAAACACCATCTCCAAATACAGCCTCCAAAATGACCATAAAACTGAATGATTGCCTTTTTTAAAACAGTTTATCTAAAAACACTAAACTTTACAACCTTCATAAAGGCCAGGCTTTATTGCTGTGTTTAAAAGTATATTAATTTTAGCTCGGAAAAACTGAAAACTACTTCTTTGTAGTTTTGTTTTGTTTATGATGGACGTGCCTATAATTTGAATGTGTGTAATTTGGCCTCTTTCAACTTAAAGTTATTAAATTGTCTTTCGGTGCCACCTGCAGAATGTGTTTCTTGCTCCAGTTTCTTTTGTTTCCGTGTAAAACATGTTTTAAAACATATTTCTTCTCAAAAAGTGTAAGGATTTTGTTAAAAGGATGAACACGATGGCAGCTGTAGGGCCGATTGTTGCCTTTATAAATTATATGGCACAGAGATGGAAGGTAGCTGCTGGTGGGAGGGTAAAGCAGCAGAGTTCTGGGTCTCAACGACCACCAGCCTAACAGCTGAACGTCCTTCCTCCTTGTCATCTTTTAAACACTCCTGTCTGCCTCCCTTCCTCTCTGTCCCCCCAGGTGAGCGGGACATCAGTGTATACTGTGGTGTTCAGACCATCACCATAAAGATCAACTTCTGTCCCGTGCTGTTTTCTGGCTACACCGATGTAGATTTGGCCCTGAATGGTCACTATAGTGACGCTCAGTGCCGTGGCTTCATCAACAACAACACTTTCCCCACAGCGGTCCTGTTCAGCATCAGCCTCAGCACTCTGGAGGCCTGCGGTAACAACTTGGTGGTAAGGAATACACAAACATAACAACTTTTAGTTAGTATGATCAATAAACAACTTCATCACTGGCTCAGACGTTTCTCTCTGCAGGTCAGCACGGCCTACGGGGCCAATGCCTATGGGAACATGTCTCTGGTCCAAATTGGGAACGTCTCCGGCTATATCGACACCCCTGACCCGCCAGCTATAATCAGCTACCTGCCGGGGTTGCTGTATAAATTCAGCTGCAGCTACCCACTGGAGTACCTGGTCAATAACTCACAGCTGGCATCGTAAGTTGCTCCCACAAAAAAAAAAAAAATCCCACAGCTTTCAAAAAAGAGCTTGGCTTTTCAGAAGCTATTCAGTGGATGTGCTATAAAGATGTATCCATTTACCATAATTAGACACTTTGAAAGACAACAATTTAGAGGAATGAATGTGTGTGAATTAACATGAGTCATTAGAACACATGCATTTCCTAAAATAATACAGTTCTCCCAATACCAGAAGGCACCAAGCCACTTTTAAATCAGGTGCTTAATTATGTATCACCACAGTTTAGGAGAATAATAAACAATCATTTAAATAAATAAATGAATGTACTATAGTTTTATCACTGCACTACATCAAAATGCATTCAACATGCTGTTCATTAAGGAGAGAAGTCATCACCAAAAGATAAAAAACTGCCTTGAACTAAATGTGCTGCATCTCTTCACAGCTCCTCTGTTGCTGTATCTGTCAAGGACAGTAACGGCACTTTTGTGAGCACACTGAGTTTGATCTTGTATAATGTGAGTATACAACTGTGCGCAGTTTATTATATACAGTCATTTCCATTCCAGTTCATAAACTGAGAAGGTTTGAATTATGAGGAGCAGATGGATTTTTTTTTTTTAATGAAAATAGCC